AAGCCATGTAAAGAGCAGAAAAGGCAACACACTCAGTTACTTAGCCCAATTTTACTTTCTGAATTTCTTATTTTGAAATACGATTCCTGGTTATAAGTGAAGAATGCAGTGACTGGACAAGAGAAAGCTACCGGCTTCAAAAAACCTCTAATTGTGTCCACTAGTGTCCAATACTCAAACCTGAAGAGCAGAGTTACACTTTTCTACATAAAGACAATGATTCTCATTGAGTCACTTAATGTGGTCTTAAAGAGCTTGCTGCAAAGATTAATGCTTAAGAGTTTGTGTCTATTTCTCTTTGCATCAAACATTATGTTCTGCATATGAAAGGGAGTTTGGGGGTCTCATCTTCCTTCTTAAAGACACCTGGGCCAGATGAGGCCGGGCTTGGCAGCCAGCATTTCAGGGCAGCAAGAAGCGACCTGAGGTCCCGGGCAGCGGAATCTGTATGCAGAGTCAGAACTGTGTTCTCAGGAGGGCCAAGCTAGGAAGCGGTTTCTTTGTCTCAGAGCCAAAGTGAAATGCAGTGACCCCCAAAAAGCTTCACGAAATTTAAGTCTAACATGTAGACAGAAAAACTACCAGGCATAAATAAAACACTGATGTGGTTATACAAGTGGACACACAGGCCATCAGCAGCCCGTCAGGTCTCATTGAAGTCCCTACCACGCAGGCCGTCTGCCCCCACGCAGGCCATCTCCCCTCCGTGGCAATCGCTGCTCTGGCTTCTAGTGGCACAGATTGGTCTAATTCTGGTCTTACTTCCATGGGACCCTTCAGCATGTGCCTGGTTCCCTTCGCCCTGTGACAGGAGTGCTGCCGACTGCCCATCCTCATTGCCTCATGAATGAACCATGATTTATCTGTCCACTGTACAGGTGATGGGCACTGACCGGTTTCTGGGTTTTTTTTTTTTTTTTTTTTTTTTGCTCTTCTCAATAGTTTGCCAATGAACATTCTTCTCATAATGTATACAGTATGCATTTTGGGGGGGGGGTACAGACCTAGAAGTAGAATTACTGAACCACAAGCTTTGTATAGGTCCAGCTCTACAAGATTTATCAGTTTTCAAAAGCAGTTGTGTCAATCTGCCTTTGCCCAGCATTGAGAGCCCATTATTACTCCATAGGCCATGGACACATTTTTGTTTTTTATTTTGGCTGCACAAGTGGGTTTCACATATCTCTGAGGCAAAAGTTGGCTCCCTTTCTCATCTTTCCCAGTAAAGCAAATTCCAGTTAATAACAGCATTGCAAGGTGTCGTGAACCAGAATTTGGCTCTCAGTCCCGTCTCAGGCTTTGCAGGCAAGTGTTGGCAGGCTAGATGCATGCAGGACTTGTAGCAGGCAACATTGGCAGGCTATGGAAACTTCCAGAGACCTAGGGAACCGATCCTCCAGCTCTTGCACTAGCAGATGGTGTGGGAACCTAGAGAAACATCACACTACATCCTCCACATGGATGGCCTCGGTGACTCTGCTCACATGGTATGGTCTTCACACCTATTCTGGGCCTGCCAGAAGATCCAGAATCCTCCAAAGTGACTCATGGCCCCCTAGATACTGTCTGGCTCCCCCATGCTGTGGAAGGTAAAGCTACAATCACTATGGAGAGGGACATTAGGTAAAGAATGAAGAAAGCTGTGGACAGTAGATGCTGTCAGGAGTAAAAGTGTGACATTCTTCTAGCACCAGGTGAGTAGGTCCCACCTGGCTCCAAGAAAAGGTTGAGTGGAGGCAAACACAGAGTGCTGCAGTCTCCCTGAAACACAAACATAACTGGAAGGGCATCGGGTGAGGCTGGGCTCCAGCACAGCTGGGGCAGACAGCAGCCGGCTGGAGGCCAAGGAGGGAAGGAACCTGGTGCACAGGGCTTTGCGGGGCAGGCATTCGTGCTGTGTTCTCCAAGGGTGAGGATTAGGCTGACAGGGCTGTGGAGGCCAGAGAGGAACAGTTTGTCTCCTCAGTGGAGTCCAGTGCAGAGTACCTATGCTCAGCGGAGGGCACAGGCTATTCGTCCCCCGGAGGGGTCCTTGCTGGTAATGGGTCTCAGAGGCAGCTGGGCAAAAGGATCACCTCCATTTCTTGAAACTGAATTTGATGATCCTGCAGCTTCTGGCTTAGCATGTCACCGTTCCGGTCTACTGCGACCCTAAGTACACTCAGCATTCCACTTCTGGGACAGCAAGCCTATCCACATGGAGGTTCTGGTCATTCGGCATGAACTGTAAGCAAAGCCGACCCCCTAGAGACAGGTGGTCCCCCTGGAGCAGTGGTGCTGGGCACTGCTTGGAGAGCCTCGAGTTAGCAGTGCAGAAGGCACCATTATGGGGTCGGTGAGAGGAGGCTCTGGGTACTGGAGGCAGCGGTGGCAGGCAGCAGCTCTGGCTCTGAGACTGATAACCTCGCTGTTCACTGCTGGGCCATAGACAACCAAATCTTAAGCTCCTAAGGACAGTGATACAATCAAGTGCCAGAAGAGACCCACTTTGAAAGATGAGTTCCTAATGAGTGGACAAACAAGAACCACGAAAGGAAGTCTTGGCAGCACGATAAATACCAGAAACCCTAGGAGCTTTTAGGCTGCCCCAGAAGACTATTTGTTTCCGAGTGACTAGTATCTTTGTGGGTGTCATTTGGGAACTCTGCAAAACTGGAGCCCAGACATTCTAGAACATTCCCTTCTTGAGGCTGGCACAAAGACTGTGCTATTGTAAGTGATCCAGGACTATGAGTGTGATGGGGGAGTGTCGGAGGCACAAGGCTGGGGTGAGGAAGCAAGTGATGATCCTCCCGGGTGATAGCCTTTCTGCTAGTGGATCCTTTGCTTTTATCACTAGCAGATAGCTGGGTACCCAAAGGCCATGTGACATTATGGCCCAGTGGGCCTGGTTCAGGCATGTCTGAAGTCCACCTTTCACACGTCACAGGTGCTAGCTTATCTAGCTGAGGCAAGAGTTGCTCTCGGCCTGTGCATCAGGACTGACACAGGTCTGGGGTTATGGCATGGGTGGGGACCCTAGATGAGAGCCATGTGGAATCTGACAGTCTGAACAGAAGTTGGTTCCACAGGAAAGAAGCGGCCAAGAAACCCCCAGCACAAGCTGAGCTCTCCACTGCTAGCTGGGCTTAAGTTTGGGAGGAGAAGATGCTATCACAGGCTGCCCTCCTGCCAGCCGGGGCCCAGGCCATCCGACCTCGAGCACAGGGCTATGGCTCCTCCGTCTCCTGCTATTGACAAGTTCGCTGCTGGGATCCCTGGCAGGGGTGTGACAGGAGGCAGGTGTTAGGAAAGTGGCACCACAGGGCTATTCAGGAGGCAGAATGACAGGAAACAGTGACTATCTTCAGGGTTCTAAGTGAGAAAACAAAAATCAGGAGAATGCTGTGTCTTAAAAAGATCCATCACCCTTGTATGTTGCAGGATAAGGCTCTGCCATCCCTCTGGCCAGGCCCAGTCATGAGAAGAGCATGAGGCTGGCTCCAGTGGGACCCTGGAGTTGGAAACATTTTCGGAGTAAGCAGTACATGGTGGCCTGTCCTGGGAAGCAGCAGAAAAAGCAGGGGTTCAGGCACCCAGGAGTACTGGTTTCTCAGGCCCTTATTCTGAAAGTGGTGAGGAAGGGAAGAGAGGTTGGTAAGAAGCAGGAGAAGCAGGAGGCTTTCTCCAGAACATGCCAAAATGCTTGGGCCAAGACATACAGGCTCTTTGGGGGAGAACCCCTTCCTGGGTCTCCTTAGGGCCCCAACATAGGTAGTTTCCCCAGCCCTACAGCTTGGCACCCCAACAATCTCCCCACCTTGGACAGAGAGCAAGCGAGTCTCCCCAGGAAATGGGGAGGCAGTAGCCAGAGAAAGGGATCTGCTGGGACAGGTGACCTGTGTGAGCAGAGCGCACAGTCCATCCTCTCCTCTGCCACTGCACAGAAGGAATCGGGAGCACAAGGGACGACACATGGAATTTGCACAGCACAGCAGGTAGAGCACAAAGAACACCCAGCTCCTGGGGCTCTCTGTTCTCAGTATGTGTGGCCTGGGCATGGGACACAGCTCTCACCTTAGTACAGCACAAACACCAGGAGCCACATCTTAGGCACAGGGAATAGAGGGAGTAGGGGAGGTTCAAACCAACGTGCGTAGGAACCCAAAACCAAACCTCTGAGTTCATGGAAGTCAGACAGGAAGTGAAAGTCAGGACAGAGTTGGAAAGTGTGATGAATGGAGTGTCAAAGGAGGACAAAGAAAGCTGGAGGAATTCATGAGATAGAAATAACCCAGGTATAGTCTTTTATTTGTCTCTGCCTGCTGGGCCGACAGCAGTGTCCAGCCAGATACCGAAGAAGGACTTGTTAGGGGAGTGGGTTCTCGAGGTTACCGTAGGTGTGTGCCAGGCACACAGGGTAGAGTGGATGCTGGCCAAGATTCTGTCTCAATTCTTCCTTGCACAGAGGGACAGAGGGAAGCCTGCATACATACACTCTGACTGGGCAGGGGCACTGGAGTTCAGACTTGGGGGCAAAGGTTGGCTCTTCCGGTCCTTTCCATCTAACAGACTTCACCAGACACTTCCCAAAAGGCAGGACAGGACTGTCGCCCTCCCTATAAAACAGGTGCTGACATAGCTTGTAAAAGGCCCCACAGTAGACAGTGAGCCGTCATTCTGCTCTGCTGCTGTCTGGTGAAGGCAGCCCCTGCCAGTGGGTGTGGCTGGGTCCTAACCGAATGGCACCAAAACTGGTGGCCCTGAGACAGTCCCCTGAAGGCAGGTATTTTCCCTCACTTTCTGCTGATGCTTAATGCCTGTTTTCCCAGCATCTTTCAGGAGAACATACAATCACAGAGGGTAAGCACTTTTCCAGTAGCAGATGCTGTTTCTCAGTGGTCTTACTAGACATAAGAAAAGACATTCCAGATAAGACTGCTATTTCTCAAAAAACTTTTTGAAAAAAGAGAGACAAATGAAGTCTGTTTTTAAATCTAAAAAACTAGAGACGCTTTTACCTTCTGCACCAAGTAGACACTGGTGGCTCTTTCGGCAGCCACCTTATCCAGCTGCGACCCCTGGGGAACAAAGTAGCTCACATCGGCAATGTGGACGCCCACTTGGAAAGTACCTGTGAATACAAAAGAAGGACCATCAGCCCCTCTGGAGTGGCCAGGGTGCTTCCGGCCCCGGGAATGTGCTACAGGAACGCGTGTCACTCTGCACCCCACAGGCCTCCATCCCAGGCTTTCCAGGCACTCAGCCCTGTATTCGTGTCCTTTGCCTCCTTGAATACCAAAAAATGACAAGATTCGCACAGTGAACCAACAAAATGAACTATTTTCTCAGGCCATTTCCCTTTTCCAAGGGCTTGTCTTTAAATATCTATCAATAGATTTGCAAAGCTAGGCAAGTCTTTCTGGATGCTGAAGAACCCCTCTGGGGTCACTAGAAGAGCATGAAGTCCCAGCCCTGTGGGACACTGCCTCCCGAAGCCCTGGCTCCCTCCATCCCCACCAGCCACCACCTTTGGCCAGCGCACTCCACCTGCCTGCCTGGCCTCTGCACCCTGACCAGACCTCCAGACTTGCTACCACTGTTCAAACATGCTCCTGGAGAGCCTGTGCCCCAGACTACCTTGTCAGTGTGTGGCCTCATCTTTCACTCTCTCTATATGCAGGGAAGAGCCCTATTCTGCCCCCTGAACACGTCTTACCTCCCCCGACTCAAACGTGCATCTAGGCTGTCTTTCTTCTGTGCTGAGGGTAAGCCCAGCTGGGACTACCTGCCACACTTGCCTTTCCTCCAGGGTCAACTGACAGAGAATCCCAAGCAAGAGGAGGCTCTTCTGTGCTTTCCCCCTCCGCCTGCACTGCTTAAGCCCCAACTGCATGCCTGCTGATGCTGACCACAGTCAGTCCCAGAGCTGTCCTCCTTCTAGTCACCACAGTGATCTCAGTGATCTCCCACACCTGCCCTTCCTCTACAGCGAGCTCAGCAGCTGGGCCTTCCCTGCAGCACATATACTATGGGCGCTCAATGAATCCCTGCTGAGTGGAGGAAGCAAGAGTTGGTTGCCTGGTGTTTTCTCCCTCTGGTCAAAGATCTACATGTTTCTCCCTTTTAGAACCTCCCTTCCAGCCAGGTGCTGCCTTCTGCCGGTGGATGGACAGTAATCCGTCCGGCCGATGAAAGTGTGCCTAAGGAGGTGGGGCAGCAGCAGGCTAAAAATCTAAGGTTCATGCTTGAACATCCCATAAATCATCTATCAAATATACTCATCTCTCTCTCTCTCTCTCTCTCTCTCTCTCTCTCTCTCTCTCTCTCTCTCACATGCATGTGAACATGCACAAAGTGGAGGGAACAGGAACTCGAGAGCACAGTCTGAAGACAGCATCGGGGCAGAGGCACACATGGTGACACTGCCTAGACAGAGGCACGCACTAGCCAACTCTCTAGACCCACCCTGGCACAGCGACCTAGCCGGGCACAGCTGTGCGCTCCAGGCCGATCTACCCTGAGCTCTTCCTTCGGGTCAGACACAAACATTAGAGAAGTCGGTCTGTCTCCTGGGAGCACCTTTGCCACACACTCGGACCAACACAGGAGAGAAGAAGTCTGAGAAAGGAAAGAAGCACGATGACCTCATTTGAACCCCAGGATCCAGAAGCCACTGAGCCTAGTCTGCAGTGGACTTGGCCACTCCCAAGCTGATAGTCCACTATCCGCTCTGACACACTGAGAATGGGGCTGAGGAGGGCTTAGGAACCATCATCACTGACTCGTCTAGTGACCTGGACGGCTAGTCCTAAGGCGTCAGACCTTTTATCTGCCAAGTTTGTGGCTTTTTATTACATCCCTCCTGCCACTGCTTCTTCTTTGGGGATACCCTTTCTTTGGCTTTTAAGCAGAGTGCTTAAAATAAGGGGTTCAGGCAAGGGAAGGAATTTGTTCCATGTTCTTTATTTGCTCTGACCCTGAGGTCCCTTTACGGGGATTCTCTGGGTTTTCTCGCCTGATCCACAACGTGACACCTCAGGGAATCTGGAAGTCTCTGTGACCCAAGCTCTGGGGTGAGACAGGGGAGCATCTCAGGGTGGAGGGGCTGTCTGCAGCACCGGGAGAAGCAGCCTCTGCGGCCTTGGCCTCCGCCTGACCGCACGCAGCCGGTCACTGGGTCACCAGAAGCAGTGAACCCGCCTTGGAGGACGGAGGAACTCGACTGGGCCAGAAATCTCAGACAGCTCAGCTTCGAGGTCTGATATTTCAAGTACCTAAAAGCAACACCCGGAGAAGGTAAAATAAAGTGTATCCTTTTGAAGTCAGGATCATAATCTATTGGCCTCACAGGTAAATATTGACCAAAGGAAAAGCGGGGATTATTCTGCCATGATATCAACCATGACTTCCAATCTGGACTCTGTACTGTTACTACACATGAACTTTCTGTCCTTTGTGAAAATTGACAAACTGACAAAGAGTTCATTACCAGAGATAAAACATGATGGGGCCAAACAAAACACACTTGAGAGGCTTGGATTTCACTCAGAATTCCCAGCAGAGCCTTTAAAACCAGCAAAGAGACACTCTCTTATTCTCCGGACATTTTTATGGAAACCTTAAATAAATATTTTATTACACATATTTACATAATGTGAACTTGCAGAACTCTTGAGGTGGTGTTGTTGAGGGTTTTATTCCATGAAAGAGGATAACACACCTCCCAAAGGCCACACGTGGAAGCCACCAGGACATTGAGCACCAACATGGTTGTTTTAAGAAATATTCACTCTTAATTTCTACCAAAGGTATTGAAAAGTGTTCCTTTAAAAAAAATTCATTTACTGGGATTGACAGGAGTACTGCGAGTTGCCTTTTTTTTTTTTTTTTTTTTTTTTTTTTGGTGTGATACTGTAGATTAAACCCAGGCCTTCACAGAGCTACGACCCCTCAGACCTTTTTAAATTTTTAAAAATTATAACACAGGCTCTCTCTCACGAAGTTGCCCAGGCTGGGCACAACTTGCGATCTCTCTGCCTCAGCCTCCCAGAGTTCTGGAGGGCAGTGGAAGCACAGAGAGGAGGGATTCGGAGCTGAGCCATGCCAGGGCCCATCAGCGGGGGCAAGGTAGACGCTCCTCAGAGTGGATGAGTCCCACCAGGGATCAGAGTGCTCCACTCAGCTCTGATGCTGATACTGACAATCTAAAGTCAGGCCTTAGGAACCAGCCATTCCACACCAGTGTCCCTGACAGGTGGCCCCGACACATCCCCAGGGCTGCCAACCCGACTCGGTGTCATCCTGGAACCACTGTTTCTGCAGGGCTCCAGCTCTCAGGAAGCGCATCTTTGCACGGGTCTGCAGTCTGCTGGATGCAGCCTGTGGTTTGCTCTAATATGAGCATGGGGAAGTGGTGACCCCTCCTGTAGGAGCGCTCAGTCTAATCTGCCCACCTGAGGATAACATGACAAGGCAGAGGATGGTGAGGAAGGCGCACAGGAGCAAAGTGAACTGCAGTGAGAACGTGCAACAATGTTACATAATCTATGACAACTACCCACAGGATGCTGGTGATGAGATCATGAAAATGAAATGGTCCTCGGGGTGGCAGCATGGCTGTCTTTAAATGTCTTCTCTGCACACAAACTCTGACAGCATCTTTGCAATCAATGAATCCTGAGGCAGGGAAGAGACCCACTCACTCCTCCTGAACTTCCCAAGTTGTCTGGGGGGTGATAAGACCCAGATTCCAATCAGGCTGGGAGGGAGCTTGGCCCCACATCCACACGGTCATTTCTAGCACAGGGTATCTAGATTTTCGGTCTCCGTGGGTCAAATCCCTCCCTCTCTCTCATGACTCAGTGGAAGCTGCATTCTGAGCCTTGGATTCAGAAGCCCTTTCCCAGCCTCATTCCCAGCCACACCCAGTCCCTGAAGGCTCTTGTGGTTCCCACTGCCAGCCTCCTTCGCCACTGGTAGCAGAGCCTCAGTACAGGACAGCCACTACGCCCGTAGCTCCAGTACTCTTTCATTAGAAGAGCGAGTCCTCTAGATCCAGCAGGTCCCTCTAAGGTCCCAGCTTATGGTCACCTCCAGCTGGGAGCAGGGCGATTCTCTGCACTGCTCCGAGGGTGGTACCAGCAGTGAGCACTCCTGGTGGACGTGTGGACAGCAGGCTTCCTTTACCAGGGCTGAGACCAGGGTCATCCAGTCTTGGGTCATCGGAGCTCATCTCTGTCTACTGCCGAGACTGGACAGGGTGACGGGCTCTTTGGAACCCCAACAGGACACTCTTCCCAGAGGACAATAACACATGCTGCAGTACACTGGACATCCACTCCTTGAAATTCACACACTGAACCTAATCCCCACAGGAGACGGCACCTGGAGGGAGCCCTGTGTCATGAGGATGCAGTGTTACTCAACATGACCACTGCTTTACACAGACAGAGCGCTCCCTGTCCCTTCTGCCACACACAAACCCAGCAAGACACCTGCTGTGAACCAGAAAATGGGTCTTCACCCAATACTGCATTTTCCAGTGCTTTAGCCTTGGATTTCAAGCCCCCCCCCCCCCAAACTATAAGCAGCAGCTGCTGTCGCTGTAAGCCACCTGGTCTGTGATGCAGTACTGTAGCCTGAACCACCCGAGACCCTGCAATCCTGGAAACCCTCTGAATTCAGTGGGAGGGCGGGTGCTGCTACACATAACTCATCAGCATAAACGAGGTCACTAATGACTAGTGTCACTGAGTCCAAGCCCTGCCAGGCTGGAGTCAACAGCAGCACCTACAGCCTGCTGACTCCCAGCCTGGGAACCCCGCCCCACCCCTCCTTCTCAGCCCCCTGCAGGTGGTAAGGGGCTTTTCCTCCCTGGACTGTCCCATTCACTTGCAGGGGTACAAGCACTGCCTGTGGGCCTTGATCTCCTGGTTCTGTACCATTCGCCTGAACCATTCCTATGTGCCTGCTGGGAACTGCCGCAGAGCAGCCCCAGGCCCCTCGCTCTTGCCTGCGTGCAGCCCCAGGCCCACTTCCCTCCCTACGATCCCACCTCAGGAAGTGGGGTTGCTGCCCAGCGATCCAACACTGCTTTCCCACTGCCCAGCCCTGCTCAAGCCTCCTGATCAG